TCCCAACGATGCTTATGTAAGTGCGTCTGTCTGCCATATCTTATCACCCTGGTAGGTTTCTCTATCGATAAGGATAAACAAAACACAAAGATGCTCATGGACGTCAGCAACCTCCATACTTACCCATGGTGGTCAACTCCGCCGGGTCTTATTTGTTACCAATTCCGAGGTCTCTTATTGTGGAGAGCATTCTTCAAGTCTCTCGCAGCCATTGAACGAAAGTCCTGAATAGGCTACTGGCTCCCGTGCACTTTGCCGGATAAATAGCCTAAACTTCGTCCTGTTCGGCTCTTGTCCCTCCCTGATGGCTTTCTGCCAAGCGGATGTGATTCGAAAACTATGATACATTGCACTTGCCGTTTGGATCATCAGGTTTGATGCCGGCTACGGTCAGGAGCGAGCTTCATCCGCTCTTTCTTTCCATAACGCCACAATGTACTTCCACTAGGTACGCCTAAATAGTTCCCCAATCAATGAATTGGCCTTGAAATGGGAACTGCATCATTGATCACCCGGATGCTACTTCATTTCTCTTGTGTTCATCAAACTATGGCCACAGTAGAAGCAGCCCAGGTGGCGTGTTTCCTTGAACGAGTTATCGGATGTTATCTGTTCTGATGGACGCTATGCGACTATCATCTCCATTCATGTCATTGTCCGTCATGCTGCCAAGATAGTATTCCCCTTCTGAATTGCCTTATGAGTCAAAATGATGTTTAGTCAATGCTACTTGGCCATTTCATCCGCCTTGGCCAATATTTGGCACTTGAAAATACATATTAAAATCACCCTTTCATCATGGCGCATGACACGACATGCTTGCAATGACCTCTTCTGCTTACATTCAGGTCTCTTGTAATTGCACGTCGTCCATCAGGGTTTTGGAAAGAGACTTGGAGATTACTTGGAGATTTGGCCAATGTCATGGCATACCTTCAAGCACAGGAGGATTCGACGAATGTTAACACCCACTCGATGATTCCGCCTTTCCAATTGAGGATGATCTGGCCTTCTTTTCGATAGCTAGGTGTCTCCAAGAGAAAGCTATTTGAATATTAAGAGACCTCGCATTCCTTCATCGCATTCCTTCACATACCACACTGAAATATGGCACGATTTGTTTGACATCGAATGCCGACATATCTCCAACATGCGGTCGTCTCTGACCCCTCTCGGCACTTTTGCCTTAGCTGGCCTTGGTGAGCACTATCCTTTCTGGTTTGCAACAATATTTACTCAAAACTATGTTAGCTATTGCCCAGGAGCAGTCGACATACTGTGACAGCTTAGGTCGTTGCTTTTCATCGTACATTAACGAAGGCGGCATTACTTTTGGTATTGCTGTTCCTGAAAGTGCCTCCGTGGGTCAGCCTTACGATGCCATCGTTCAAATTACAGCTCCCATCGCGGTGGGCTGGGCTGGACTGGCATGGGGAGGTTCCATGACCTACAATCCGCTCACCATTGTATGGATGGACGGGAACGAAGTCACCGTTTCGTCACGCATGGCCTTGTAGGTACCCCAAATCCCCTCAGAGACGAGTCAAGTATTCCTTATTTGCAGCGGTTACTTCACGCCACCCCCGTACGAGGACGCCGAGTACACTGTCCTCCCAGGCACTGTTGTCAACAACACCCATTACTCTGTCACCGCTCTTTGCAAAGGCTGCACTTACTTTGCACCCTTCGGCAATGATCCAACTGCGCTGGATCCCAACGGAGAGAACTACCTAGCGTTTGCGTACTCGGGTGTCCCAGTCGACGACCCTTCATCCAACGAAACAACTTTTGGGATCCACGAACGAACGGGACACTGGTATCATGACTTCAAGCCGGCGCAAGCTCCCGACTTTGACGAGTGGGCAAGCGGCAGCAGCGGGAGTGAGCCACCTGTTGGCACTACGACTGTGACCACTCTAGCGACAGCAACTTCAACTACCACGGTCCACAGTACTACCACCCTTCAGACTACAGTCACCAGAACTGGAGTTCCTCCCAGTAGTGCAGCATCAACTGTATCATCCTCACGTGCCACGGTAACATCGTCTATCGTGTCCAGAGAGCCCGCGCTCCCTGTTCCCAACTCTTGTGCCGGTGTGAGCGCCTTCAGATTCGGATTCCAGACCGCCAACGGATGGAAAGCTGTCAAGCTCGCCGGTTCTCTTTCTGGTCCCCGTGGCATTGCAATAGATTCACAGGGAAACCTTCTCGTGGTTCAGTCTGGAAGGGGTGTCACTGTCCATACTTTCGGTAGTGACGGCTGCATCTCGTCCTCCAAAACCTTGATCAACAACCCTTCTCTCAATCATGGAATCGGCTTCACGCCAGACGGGAAGACTCTCTACGTCAGTTCAATGACTACAGCCTGGTCATTCACGTACGACGCCCAATCGCAGACTGTAGGTGGGCAGACCGTGGTAGTAAAGGGCATGCAGCAGGGCGGACACCCGACAAGGGCGCTTCTTATCCCCCCGGCCACGCCACACTTACTTGTAATTCAGCAAGGCTCATACAGCAATTTTGACTATGATTCACTCAACAAGGGCGTTGCGCGGGCCGTTGTCAAGGTCTTTGACTTGCGCAGCGTGCCCTCCGGAGGCTACACATACAACAGTCAGGGGTGGTTCCTTGGCTGGGGTCTCCGCAACGAGGTTGCCCTCGCCGCCGACGGAAACAACATGTGCGTTTTAAACTCTCTCTTCTCTTTCTGAATCAATAACGCTGACTTGTGATTTAGGATCTGGGGTGTGGAAAACAGCGGAGATGACTTCGCACGCACAGTGAATGGCAGGAGCTACGACATTCACAATGACAACCCTGCAGAGGAGCTGAACTTCCGTAAGTCTATACACCAATGATCTATTTTACTTATATCCCGCTAACACCGATAGTTGGCGATCCTTCCAAGCCAAATGATGACTGGTACGGTTACCCAACCTGCTTCACTGTTTGGGAGCCCTCCGTCATTACGGATAAGTCTTTCAAGGTCGGCCAACAATTTGTCGTTGCGCCGAACAGCACCTTCAACGATGACACCTGCACATCTCGTTCCATCGCGCCTCGACTTTCGATACAAGCCCACAGTGCGCCCATTGGGTCCGTCTTTGACCAAAATTTCCAGAACCTATACGTCACGCTACACGGGTCTTGGAACAGGTCACCTGCAACGGGATTCAAGGTGTCTGTTGTCCCATTCACAAAGCTCTCAAATGGTCAATATGATCCCGTAGCGCCTCCAGACTCAAAGAATGCCTACAGTGATATCTTTTGGAGCACGAATGTGGGCAGCTGTACTGGAGCGACGTGTTTTAGGCCGTCTGGTATCACTTGGGACCGTGAGTTTTCGCGGTTGTTCGTTGCTAGCGATAACACCCAAGAGGGGGAGCTGTTCATGTTGGTTAAATCATAGCTAGAGATAGGAAAAGGCATCAGGGAGATAAGGTGACGATGTTGGCAACCGATTTCCCCCTGTTAGCAATGAAGTCGCTCAGTCACTTTCGCACCATTGCGGAGCACAACTTCGATTTCGATTCCAGATGTCTCGTCTTTGAAAGTTGCATTAAATGCCAATCAACGGTTCCATCGTAGTCTGCACTGCCAAGACGACAACAGCCGACACTCACAATAGTCGGGACATGTCCCGGAAACACAACCGCCGACTTTCCCCAATACGCCAGGTCGGAGGAATGGGGACTCTGCTCCGAGAATGTGATGCTTTTCGGCATCTCTCACGAATACCCGTCGGTCAATGGGGTCCGAGCCGTAGTAAATCCAATCACCGAGGGTCTAGGAAATGCGGTCTTGTGAGCCCAGACTCTTGCCTGGTAGGTCGGATGCACCACTCTACACAGGTTCGAACCATGAACGTCACGAGTAGTCGCGGGGTACTGGCCTTTGTTCATCGCCTAGATCTTATTGATCGTAAAATTAACGACTCGTCAGAGGGTACTGGAGTGGACGACGACTTGGAACAACGTGATGGAGATGACTGAACTCAGTGGGGCACTATGGCTGGTGGTCTCCAAGAAAGCTTCTAGCGCCGCATATGGGATGAGAATGGGGCCTTGGAAAGCGATCAGCTGGTTCAGGAACATCACCAACCGTACTACTGGGAACAATTTGGAGAAAATGATGGACGGTTCACAATTGCCATCACCCGCGAGCCTCGAGGCAGAAACCGCCCCTCCGACATTCCGGATGCGCACATTGGCTCCTGGCGCCAACTAATTGTTGGTTTCTGTGGCAGCTGGATTGCCACGCATCACCGTCAGCTTCACTGGCCATGTTTTAATTAACAGTCACGGTACACAGGATGACGTTCGATTTGGAAGTTTCATCGCCAATGTTGTCGCGAAACCATCTAGGAGAAACATTTTTTTACCTTTGGAAGATGGCAAGGGGCCTGAGCACAGCAACCCCTGATCTCCTGATTTGAGCTCATGATTTGGGCGGGCGAATGCTCGCAACAGCTTCGGTGTTTGAAAGCCCAGGTATTCTGTTTGTTATCCAAAATCTGGGCTGGTATCCATGTGACAGAAGAGTTCAATACCGTAGAAATAGCGAGAGTGGCCGCATCGATAGATGATGTTATTGGTTCCAGTCGCCCCGAGCTCCAATGCTTTCCGGGATATCATGACATCAGGATCTGCATACGGGTCGACGAAATGTCCGAAAGTGCCGTCTTGGCATCAGGGATGCAACAAACCTTCTGACAAAAGACGGACGAGAACACAACTACGACAAACAGTAGGGTCAGGAGCAACGCAAATCATGGCACTTGAATAAGTCTATTTGTGACCTGCAGGAAGACGCGAGGGTCGCCCCCAAACGCGGCCTGTAGATCTATGGGTGCAGCTAACTAAGTTGGGTCAATGTCCTCCGAAGAAATGAAATTCGCTCTGCTATGTAATACTTTGCCATGCTCTCGATCTGAAAATGCGCAGAGTTGAGATTTTGAACAAGTTGCATGCGGGGAGTTTTCAGGGGTTTCCACAAAGACGTCACTGGGAAATCCCTTGAAGAAGCTCCTCGAGGCTACCAGAGGTAACCACAGTGGTCTTTTCACACAGCTCAGGGGGGCAGTTTTCCTCATATGCCTATCAAACTTTCAGTCAACAACATGACACATTCAGTTCTGGATCATGCTTACATATAGCGTTCCAGGCTTTCCGGTGCAGTCGTCTCTCAGAGGTACGTGCCTGGTGACTGATTCAGCAAGAGAGGTCGGGCTCCAATTGAAGACCAAAGGAGCCAGTGGCTCGGCCTCGCGGTATTGGTTGATGTTCTCTGTTTCATAGGATCAGTCACTCGACTCGAAATAATTCGGGGAAGCGAGTAGAATACCTTCAAAGCGGTTGACAAGCTCCAGCATGGTCGAGTTCCTAATACCCCATCCAACGCCGGTCACACCCCAACGTCTGCCCTTCATGCGGTCCGCAATGTTGGAAGCCGGTTGATCGGGTCCTTGGAAGAGAACTGTGTTCCATCTTTTAGTATCAGAGACACGTATCTTGCCGGTGCAACCTACCATAGACATTGAATCCAGCCTTAACGAGGTTTGCAGTGTCGTTGCGCAAAGCGATATCGGTTTGAACCGGATCAAAACCTCGAGAAAGGACAAGTGGGTGGTACGCCGTAAGTCCGCTATATGGCGCGTTAGAAAGCTGAGGGAATCCTTCGCCCGTTCAACTCACGTGTAGAACACGTTCACCTCACCGCAGGTCACGTTGGTGGGAAAGGTTATCTTAGGTGTTGGGATCGGATCGCTGGCATTCGGTGCAGTCAGGGCACAGCCAGCAGCAAGGCAGACAGCTCGGTTAAAGAGGACCATGATGGAAAGCTTGAAGTATAAGTTTCGGAAGAGTTGTTATAGATCTGGGGAAAGGTGAATGGATTGAATGGTAGACAAAGAGTCTGATTCGAAACTTCAGCACATTGAAGTCGAGGATTCTAAATGTCTTATAGCTAATTATCCGACATATCATGTGTCGCAGATGCTTAACACTTAGTCTCTACTTCATACCATGCTAAAATGCTTCGTCCATCTCCGGTAGACCAGCAGAGCCATCACCAGAGCATCTCGATACCACTTCGGGCGCACTTTTCGGACGTTTCGGATGGTCGAAATGCGCGACTCGCCGCTGTGCCTTCCAAAGCTCCTTGATGCAAGACCAAGCATTGCAGCGAGACCAAGGCAGGAAATTCGCGAAGTCAATTTCACTTGCAAGGTATCACTTCTGGGCATCGCAACACGATTGCTCACGTAGCTCCTTAAGGTGGAGCATTTGCAGCCATTTCTAGGCCGGTCCCCTGGTTGTCTTATGGTTGACTAAGCGGATCGTCTTCTAGCCGTAGTTGTCAAGATGCGTTCAATGTTCGAGTCGGAGGTGGCCGGAGAGCGGATCACAGAAGGATCTGAGAATCGATTTCAAACCAAGTGTGCATTTCTAAGCCGGAGTCTACCAATGATTGAACCTCACCTTCTAGCAGGACGGACACGGACTTCTTGGCCACTTTCATCCGAACACCTCAAGACGATGGAGCTCGTTGCGGAGCTCAAGGCATAGGTCAAGGCGCAAAGTGTGATATTTAAGGTGCATGCTGTGGAATTCTCATCTTCAACAGCACTAACAACAACACTTATAGCGATACCAACGCTCATCATTTTTCCAGGCCTTCTTAGAACACAGCAGCATAAGCAGCGCAGCCATGTCTCTGATTAAGCCCGTCACTGTATATGTCCTAGGTACGCTACAGACACTCGTAGATGGATGACTGTGGGCTAACAAGTCGTAGGAGGTGGCCCGAACCCCTTCAAGGTCTTGATCACTCTGGAAGAGCTTGGCATTCCATATGAGAAAGTCGAGGTCGAGGACGTTAAGAGCGAGGCCTTTCTCAAGCTAAACCCCAACGGTCGCACCCCAGTTATCACAGATCCCAACAATAACAACTTCACACTGTGGGAGTCTGGCGCGATTGTCGAGTATCTGGTCGAGAAGTACGATGCGCTAGGGAGTTTGACACTCAAAGACAAGAATAGCAGATGGCTGCTGCAACAGTATCTGCACTTTCAAATGTCGGGACAAGGGCCCTACTACGGACAGGCGGTGTGGTTTTACCGACAGATCGAAGACATCCCAACCGCCAAGCACAGGTACATCGAGCAAGTCTTGAGAGTATTCGGCGTCTTGGACGGAATTCTCAAGGACAGGGAATATCTCGTTGGTGGCAAATGGTAGGTACACTGGCTCCGGCATTCCTATAATATGCTTACCAGTCTAGCACCTATGCCGATCTATCCTTCATCCCGTGGAACCGGGTGGCTCTCGGAGCACCATTTTTCAAAGACGAGCTCTGGGAAAAGCACGAGATCAAGACTCGCTTTCCCAATTTCTTGGCGTGGCATGAACGCCTCAATGCCAGGCTGTCGGTCCAAGCTGCCTATGGAGCCTGAGATGGAATTTTGCAGGTATTTGTCTTGCAGCCCCATACAAGTCAGCGGATCAGACATTCTCAATGGGAAGGAGCATAGAATGGGCATATATGTGAGGAACTATCGGTAGCCGGATAATTATACTACGTTGGTATTTGTACATAAAGCTACGATAATACACGTACGCAAATGATTGCCTCACAGATTGCCATCAATCATACTATCTGGTGGCAAATTCCAGTCAACTATTTGCAAGAATCCAGCCGAGAGCCAGTTATGGCTACCGTGGGATATGCCCTCCCAGTTGTCCTGGTCAATTGCTTCAGGTACCGGGAGAACAGGCACAAACTCTTCATTTCCATCGGGCTTGTCCATGGTCAAGCTCAGACCATTGAGAGCTGTGCCGAGGGGTTCCTGCACTGTGTTCGGTGGATCCACCACAACAGATACTGCTACTTCGTACAAGGCCTTGATGATGTGGTAGGAGGCAATTTTCTGATGGTTCACGTCGTATCTTTCGTAGAATGAGAGGACAAGTTTGATCAGCTCGATATCCTGTGCCGCTGTGGCGGACGTCTTGTTCTCGATGATATTGATGAAGAGAATGTCGACGCTCCAAGCCACCTGATAAAGAAGGTATCTGGCCTGAGTCAGTATGGCCAAGTAGTCTGTCCATTAAAGGGTTACTAACATCGTGAATGGGTGGTCGATGTGATGGTAATTCAGGAGTGACACAGCCCCACGAGCAGCGTTGACGCAGATAGCAACGCTGGGGCGCAAAAAGTCCATGTCCTGCGCGGAAAATGGCATTCTAAGCGCCGCCGAATGGACTGCGACCACCAATTGGAAGTACACGAAGTGCAAGACACTCAATGCCATCAATCTAGCATGATTGTCATCATCTAGAGAGGCACCTGACTGTTTCGGGCGAATCATTTCTGGGATACTATCCCGCCATTCCTGAAGCTCTCCGTCCAGGAGACCAATTTCAGATTCTAGGGCCGTCGCTGAAGTCGGGCTGTTTAGATACAACCTTGAGTAAATGCGGCCCTGGATTTGTGCTAGCTTGACTTCCTGTCGAAAGTAGTTGAGAACGACGTCGCCCGGATAGTAAAAGAAGCCGTAGCAGTCCAAGGGATACTCTTCGGGAAAGTCGACGAGGAAATTATCAGTGATCAGAGGTGGCTTCCCAATCCGTAGCATCAAGTCATGGTCAAAGATGTAAGCTTGCCAGAAAAGACGCCGACGATGTTGGATTTCCGAATCGCTTAGGCCGGAATGGTTGCTATGATAGTAACCTCCTAGGAGGAGAGACTGCGTTGCTAGAGCCAGAACAGAAACAGCAATGTGATTTTCGGCGGTAAAAATGAAATGGGACACCTGCATCGTCAACACCGAATCACAATACTGCAAAGGAAAAGACTCACCAGCGCAAGGAGAGCCCCTATGGTCATTGGACACGGTGAATGCAACATGGCGGTAGGTATGAGGGCCATGGCATTGTGCAAATATTTCTCATGTTCTCGTGTGCCGTGGAGCAAATCTCGTTTTCGATGAGGGTGCAGGAGGATGGTGTATAGAGCTATCTTCCAACCGATGCTGCTTGACGATTGTCCATGTAGATACGACTGAACTGCGGCGCGGACTGACGACTCATCAAAGAATTTGATGTGCCGGTTGAGAGTGAGAAAGAAGTCTGTGAGGCAAACATATCAGTCAAAGTAATGACTTGTTTGATTTCACTAAGGCAGCATACCTTTCATGCATTCCGCCACCACAAAATCCGATGGAAAGGAGTCAGTGGCTGTGGAAACATAGTTGAGGGTTCTTTGAGGCGGGATGCTATTGATTTGGTCTAGAAGTCCGCGGGCAACGCTAGAGAAACGCTTGTCCCCAACCAACGTGTCAATCTTCTCCATGCCCTCGGCTGAGAAAAGCAAACAAGAACCTGCTGGCTTGATCAACTACTAGTTCCTATGCAGCTAAGCTGACACTCATGAAGTTGATACGTACCGCCGGCGCCGATAGCAGATTCGGGCATAGCGTCAGCATGGAATAGCTTCGGCCCAGATGAAGTTGTGCTTGACGGGGATGTCAGACTCGGATCAGCCTGTGGTGGGTTCTGTGCCGGCGAGGTCTTCATCCATGTGGACTGGTCAGTAGTGGCACCATTCGACGAGGCCTCGCTCATGGCCCGAGGCTGGGCCTCCTGAACCGATTGTGGTTCCTGCAGGTCTTTGACCAAGCGCTCTATCTGAGCTAGTCTTGCGGTGACATTTTCATAGAGCCTCTCTCTGGACAGGGGCGATCAAGGTTAGTCGGTTGGTTCTGGTTTTGGGATACGCGGAAAGTAAAACAGGCAGGCAGGCAGGCAATTTGGTGACTGACGTCTTTTCTTTCCGAGGATTATTCTTCTTTCTTTGAGGCCAGACACAGTCTTGGCCGTATCGTTCGCAGGTGGAGCATATCGGTTTCCGGTGGTCGCACTTGACCTAATCATTCAGTTGGCACATCGAGCGTACCAAAAGAGAGAATGGCTAATATCAAACCTTGCGACGTCGGCATGACGAACACGAGAGAGATGGAAGCCTCACAGCCGCCGTGAAAGAGTCGGCATCCGGGACTTGCGGTCTATGCTGGGATTGCATCGTAGTAGGGCTTCGGAAGGACATTCAGAAAAGCCCTGCGATTGAACATGTGTTCCGGCGCTCTTGACGGTCAAATGTTCGGCAGTGGTTTGTTGAGAAGTGGAAAGATGGGTAGATAGTGGATGCTCGGAACCTGCCGACTAACATGAAAGACACAGACGGACGTATCGCCTGCCATCGGACAGGAAAAGTTCCGTCCGACGTTTTTTATGTGGTTCTCGCTCTCGCTTTTAGAGAAAAAGGCTTGGCTTCCGTTAAAAAGGGTTGCATTCCGTTACAAAAGACTATCTGCTAGAGCCCAATCCACGGCGCGAGCACAAAGAAAGTTTTCCAGGGTCCCAGATCCTTACATAGTGCCCACTTTCCGCAGTGAGGATGGAGTGCACAATATCGTCAAATTATACGCAGGAATTATGCGTTGGAGGAATACTACATTTACTACGCTGTATTGGGTTCAGTTTTATGTGATACCTATCTATGTGCGAGACGGTAGTCGGCCGGGCCCAGGCCTGAGGCCTGAATCCTAGCCTGAATCCCGCCTTTACGTAAGGGGTCGGCTATACTACTTTATAGCTAGGTATACCTAGTACTTATAGCTAGATTAATTAAGCTACTTTATATAGGTTATAAGCCCTCTAAATACCTAAATCTATTTACTAAATAGTGAGGTTATTCTTAAATAGCTATTAGGATTTTAACTTTATAGTTTAATAATTATTATAAAGTAATTAATAGATTATTAAGCTACTAGAAATAATACTTCTAAGTAGAGGTTATAGCTATTATAATATATATCCCCTATTTATAAAATCTCTNGTAATACTTCTAAGTAGAGGTTATAGTTATTATAATATATATCCCCTATTTATAAAATCTTTTTAGTTTCTAAGTTACTAAAGTTAATAATTATTTAATAATTACTATAGTTATATAGTAATAACTATTTAATAAATATCTAATAATTACTTATAACTACTCTTTAAACCTCTCTTAAATTACTAAATTAATTAAATAAATTAATATATCTTTAATTAGTAATCTAACTCTATTTTCTTCTAGCTCTACTAGAAGGGGATTATCTTAGATTAGCCCTCCCCCTTCTTCTACTATAGACCTTATAATTAGAATAGCTATATAGAAAGTAGCTAGTAAGGGACTAAATCTAAGAAATCTAATATATAATATTATCCCTAAATTAACTAAAGTTATAAGTTTTAAGCTATAGGAGATTAATCTTAAGAACACCTTTAAAGTAATAAGATTACTTTTCTACTTAATAACTAAAGGGATATTAGTTAGATATAATAGAAATATAGTTTTTAAAGAAAATAAAGTAGTAGTAGTTAAAGATCTAAGCTCTTTAGGTAATTTAATATTTATAAGTTTTATATTTATTAAATAATTACTTATAAAGAAGATCTAATATAATCTTTTAGAAGAAATAATTAATAATAGTCTTTCTATTATAGCTTTAGCTTTCTATATCTTTATTAAGACTAAAGAATATACTTAGAAGTTTAATAAACTAGCTATAAGTAAAGTTTATAATAACTAGAATAGAATAACTAGAATTAACTATAGTAATACTAAGGATTTTATATAAAATCTTCACTTAACTTTTAATAAACTAAATAGTTCTAGTATAAACTTATTAATTATAGCCCTTATTTATAGATTTATTTAAGGTTTTAGATATTTTAATTAAATTAAAGTAGACTCTATAGAGAATAACTTTATTATAGGGATTTAAAATTATAATAACTTCTTATAAAAACTTAAAGACTTAAGTAAAAAGGAATAATATAAGTAAACCTCCTAAAATATTAAAGCTCTATTAAATAAGAAGAAGTTTATTATAAAGAGGTAAACTTAAGCTTCTAAGTCTAAAAGTATAAAACTATAAGATTTATATATTTCCTATAATATTAAATATCCTAAGATTCTCTATAGATATAAAATATATAACTATTACTATAAAAAGATAATATTATACCTAAATAAGTATAATAATTATTTCCTTAAATATTATAGATATTATACTTTAGTATATAATAAGTTTAAGTATATTAATAAACTACTAATAACTTAGTAATTAATAATATAGGTATTTACTTTAGTATTTACCTCAAAAAGCTAAACTTAAAATAATATCTTTAGAAACTCTAGTATTAAATAGGATATTAACTAATAATCTAAGGTTTTTATAGATACCCTATTAGCTTAAGTTTAGAAGAGGACCTTTCTATTATTCTTAGTAGAAGATTTCAAAATATTTAGTCTATATTTTAACTTTTAACCTCTAGCTAAAGATCTATATAAAATTATATATATATAGGGAGTTAGGAAGTAACTAATAAAAGAATCTATATACTT